GCACCGCCCGCGGGACGGAGGCGGCGAGCCGGCTCACCGGAGGATGTTGTCGGCGTAGGTGAGGAGCAGGCGCGACGCCTCCAGGAAGATCTCGCGGCCATTCTGGCACAGCTCGCTCACGGCGGCCGAGCCCGGCACTGACGGCGGACCCAGCGCGGCCGCCATCGCTCCCCCCACCTCCGCTTCGCGGCAGCGCCGCCCGCCCCCGCCGCGGCGTCACACGCACATGGGCGGGCCTTAAAGGGCCAGAGGGCACAGGGACGAAGCGCCAGTCAATCCCCAAATCCCTCCGGGTAGCGGGAGAGACCGCCCGGTCACACCGTGCTGTCCCAAAACAGCTTCTTCTTTCCCCTAGTGTGCAAGATGCTAATCCACACACAGAGTGGAGGTATTTGATTTATTTACGGTTCTGCTCAGAAAGGGGTGCCGCGTGGCCAATCCACAAGGCCAGCACGACGGCTCCTAAAACTTTTCGCTATTTATACACGATAGCGACCAGATATTAATGTTCATTAGCGACAAGTTACCTAGTTCTCTTATTAATTAGACTTCTATTGGTTAATTGAGTTTCTTCCTTATCTAGGGGTTCTTCCAAATGTCCTTGTGGCTAGTAAATTCTGCTTTCTTTGTGCCCCCTATCACTGGTAAGTCCTTCCTATGCTTTGTTAACCTTCCCCTAGGTTTGAGATCACTGAAACATGTCGAGCCCTAAACCTTAACAAATCAATTCTTTCAACAAGCAATTTGTCTTTTTAACACTTGAAACATCACTGAGAGCTTGATTAAATCTCCTTTCTCGTTGATTTCGCTTGAAAGTAGACGAAGGTCAAACATCAAAGAACATCCTGTCCTAAAAAAATTTTTACATATTCCGCATTTTGCAACATCGGGAGCCCCCTGGCAGGCAGTAACGTCCTCAAGGATATAAATCCCCTTTTGTATTGCCCTGGTTTGGCAGCGCTCTCTGATGGTGCCAAACCTTCAGCCTTACCTGGGCTACCTGGCTGGGAATACCACTGAAGCAACTTGCCCCCACTCTGGCACCTTGCCTAGCACTACCCAAAGCCTGTTCCAGCAAAGCAAAAAAGTCCTGGTCTGCTGCTTCTAGATATTTGTGCTATCAGTGAAAGAACTGCAGTGAAGAACCTTGGACAAAGACTGGTGAGGCTTTGCTTTCTTAGGAATGCAAATTTAAAGAGTTCCAAGCAAAAGAGGTCTTTAAAATTCAGCCTGATTTTGTGGTTGACATTACATTCTAGCTCTGCTGTCTGCTTCTTACAGGTCACTGCTCAACTTCTGTGATTTTTTAAAGGAAGTGGTGCATATTCCTCACAAAAGCTGGGATTTAACACTGGGCAATTCACTTTTGCTGAGATTACACTTACTATTCCTACTAGTATAGTTGAAAAAAGTTATTAACGCAGCCCTCAGAATCATGGAACTGGTACCAAAGTAATAACATTTTAATTTAAGATGATGTTCCTTGTCTGCTGCTTCAGCTTTTAACTTCCTTTCCATGTCTTTCACATAGTTATATGGCTCTGAATGTTGGTTGCACTCTGAAATTTAACAATTAACTAAACTGTTGTATGTGTAACATAATTGTACAATGCATATAAGTATGGCATTTGTAAATAATGCTTTGGAAGTACTCATAGGAAAGCTGTATGAAAATTGAGAAGACCAAGTACCAACTTCAGCAAATAACTAACACACTGAATGCCCAGGGAATGTTATTTCTAAAGGGAAATTACATACAGATGCTTCATTTAAAAATAGTGGGCTGTTTTTCTATATTAAATCTTCCGTTTCTCTCCTTTCTGACATGTAGAGTTGCTTTTTTTTCCCCTTTTTTTACTGCAGTAGGTGCTTCATTACTGTGCTATAGTTTGTATTTAGATGTAGCTGTGATTGCAGATAATGAGCATCATTGTATTGTGTGAGTAAACAGATTTCAGTTTTCTTACTGCTCTACACTATAAAAGGTATCACTTAATAAGTAAACTCCCCATTCATGTAATTAATTCATGTCTCTGTTGATGAGACTTTGACACACATTTTATGGTCTGCCAGAGTACCTTTCGAGTCTTTGTGTATTTTAAGTGAGATACCATTGTCCTAAATAAAAGTTTAGTTGTTTGTACACATCATTTCAGGCATAGCTTGGTCTCAGTTCAGATCATCCATTCTTGCGGCTGGAAGCAGCAACCACGTGTGCATTGGTGCTGTTGGCATATTTGTTCATGTATTTCAAGACACTCCTGTAAAGCCAAAGTGATCATTTAGTCTTTGTCTTCTCTACCAGCATTTCAGCATCCGTGAGGAGGAGCACTTTCAAGAAATCATTTAGACTGGAAAAGATCTTTAGTATCACAGAGTCCACCACCAAACCACGTCCCCAGATGTCACATCTACACATCTTTTAAACACCCCCAGGGACGGTGACTCCACCACTTCCCTCGGCAGGCTGGTCAAATGCTTGACAACCCTTCCAGTGAAGAAAACGTTCCTAATATCCAATCTAACCCTTCTCTGGTACAACTTGAGGCCATTGTCACTTGCTATGTGGGAGAAGAGACCGACCCCCACCTGTCTACAACCTCCACTCAAACAGCTGTAGAGAGCGATAAGATCTTGCGTATCACTCCACCAGAGACCATGTGTTTGTTCGGGGGGGTGGGGGGGTGTTTCTTACTCTTCCTTAGCGTGTTTAATCACGTGGTTTGGAAAAGGAAATGCCACCCTCGCCTTTTCCAGCTCTCCGGGTCATTTACGCCGCCTCTCTACCCACCCACCTACACCGCGAGGCGGGGCCAGGCGAGAGGAAGCGCCGCTGGGCGGTGCGTACCCACACAACTCCCCCTCTTCCCTCCCCCGCCTGCCGAGTGGTGCTGCCCCGCGCCGCCGGAACCGGGAGGGAGGCAGAGCGAACCATCGCAGAGCAGGGGGGGAGTGCGGGCGGCGGAGGTACCGCTGCGGGCGCTGAGGCGGAGGGAGGCGGGGGCTGCGGGGCGGGACGGCAATGGCGGCGCAGGGCAGTCTGGTGGGGCTCGGGTTTGACTCCTGATGTAGGCATTGAAAGTAGTCACTGCCCTTCAAACAGCCGGGGCCGTCCGGTAATGCTTGTTTCCGGAGGAAGTTGCCCCGCGCCTGGTTTTCCCGCAGAGCAGGTATCGGGCATTGCTGGGGTAAAACAGGACGGCTCGGCACCTGGCACGGGTGACGGCATGGGGATGGGGACACGGTGCTCTACAGAGCTCTGCAGGTTTATATATACACACACTCGTTATATATACACACGCACACACATATGCATTATTATACATTTATATGTCTAATATCTAATACGCCATACATCACTTTGTATACGCTATACCATATATAATATATTTAGGATATACAGATATACATGATATACATTATCTAATATATACACATAAAATACTGCAGAGCTCTTTTATATATATATAGTACACATTTATCTGTAGTATATGTTGTATGTGTTATATATATAATGTATTATATACTATATATATTAATATATATAGTATGTATGTATTATATACATATATTTATATATACTGCCTATCTTTATAAAAGCCAGGCAAACTGGCTTAATTAAAATGGCAGATTTGGGTCAGGATTTAAAACAGGCTTCCTTAAAAAAAGAAATTGTTTCATTATAAATATAATTAATTAAAAAAGAAATAATTACATAAAATATGTATAAAATTATTTATTAATTTTATTCCTCATCCCTGAAAGTGCACAAGGCAAGGCTGGATGAGGCTTTGAGCAACATGTTCTAGTGAGAGGTGTCCCTGCAGCAGGGTTGGAACTAGATGATCTTTAAGTCCCTTCCAACCCAGGCCATTCTATGATTCTATGATATTCTTTATTAACGCTGCTGTGTACTTGTGCTGCCACAGCTCTGGGTGTTTCAGCAGGAGTACATTAGCCCAAAAACCCCATGTGGTCCCCATCCAGCTCCCTATATTTTACCTAAGAGCTGGGGATGCCAAGTTCCCCTTTTCATGAGTCAAAAATCAGGTGACCAGTTGCAGCCTGTATCGCAGGTGTTGACAGATCTGTGCTGCGGCCACTGCCCGGCTCCAGCATGCCAGATGTGTGCAATCAGACCAGCTCCGCACCTGGCAGTTGCCAAGGCAAGGGAGGGGGACTGTGGTACAGTATGGCAGCATCACTGCTAGGTGTGGTCCTCTTGTCCCGCCTGCAGTATTTGTGCTCAGCAGTGCCCTTCTGCCATCACTTGACATCCCTCTTGGTATGTGAGCTCTGCCAATGTTACCTTCAAGGGAGGTGGTGGTGTAGCACATCTTGCTCAAACCACTTGAGGTGCTGTCCCCTGGCAGTGTAAATACCCAAGGCTGATAAGGGATGGATGGAGGTAGAACAATGAGGACTCTTGTCCAAGCTATGTAATTACATTGGTGGCAGAACCAGGAAGAATTTATTGACTCCTGTTCTGAGTTTTCTAGACCGTTCTACCTGACATGAAGGTTAAGATCACAACACCCTTAACTTGAGAATGCTAGGATATACACTTTCAGACGAACACACACTTTGTCCCCCCTTAGAGGAATGAAGCTGTTAATGTTCATTGTTCATACCTCCAGCCAGCTGGTGGTTAAGGCCCTGGGGAGAGTTTTGCGGCGAAACCAGAGTGCTTTGCAGGCCACAGTAGTGCAAACTCATATTTATTAGCAGCTTAAGGTAGATGAGGCCACTAGAGGCATTCCCAAAGTGACTGTGTTTCTGTGCCTTGTCTACAGCTTTGTACTATTCCTGATTACAGACACAGAAACTACATCACTTTCTACAGGTTTGAAAATAGTCTTTCTTGTAAAAAGCAGGTTATTAATTTAATGTACTTGGAATGCTTTCCACACTGGCTGTTCTATTATTGTGTTTGTGTCTTCTGCTTCCAGTTACAGGAATGTGCTTGAACTGATTATTGCCACCATGTTCTCACAACACTTACGGGATCTGTTAAAGATTGCAAATCTTCATCTCCAGAGTCTGAATTTAAATCTACATTTACAAAACCACAGAAGAGCTTTCAGCAGGTCACTGCCTGCATGTCGAAGGAAAGTAGCGGTTACAGGTATTGGCTTAGTGTCCCCTCTTGGTGTGGGGACTCAGTTTGTATGGAAGCACCTTCTTGAAGGAG